TAAAAAAAAAAAAAAGAATGCTCCTCTGTGGAGGTTCAAATCCACCAGTAGTCCCAAGACAGAAAGATGGGCTATTTTCTCTTGATGCCATTTATAATCTGGGAAACCTGATGAAGGGTCATTATGAGTTGGAACCGACTTGATGACAAAGAGAAAAACAAAGCCAGGAAAGGAGCTCCTGAAGAGAAGAATGACAGACAGGTGTTATAATTTAAATCTAGATTGTCAAAGAAAATTTTATTGAAAAGCGCATGATCTGTGCAAGGAGGGGAAGAAGGTGAGGGAATGAGGGATATGGACTATTTTGTTCAGAGATAAAGCAAACACTGTCATGGATTCAATCACATTCTCCCAAGACACATGTATACAATGTGGAAGCTATGTAATACTTACCCCGATCAGCTAAACCAAATAGTTGGAGGACTAATAGTGGAATGCAGCAGTCCCTAATCCCTTCATTGCCCTAGTCAAATGTTTGGAGAGTTCTAATAGGAGATGGCCTTTAATATTTTTTATCTAACAAGAGATAAAAGGGGAGGAAATTGAGTTGAGTGAAAGGAGAAGGATTGAGGAGGCAACTGTGGGAGTGTGGGGAAACTCAATACCACCAAGAAATAAATGCTAGAAATAGAATGAATCTTTTTGTAGCAAGGCTCCTGTGTGGTGAAGCTCTGTGATACAGTAAAAGGTCAGGACACAGAGAGCTGTCCAGGAAATGCTGGGTTGGCAGATGCTGAAGGAAACAAGGAATTTTCTGAATTTGGACCTCTGCACTCCAGAACTATATTGTAGTGTGCTGTCGAGTCAGAACCTGCTGATTCTCCAGCAGGTTTTCAGAGGCAGTTAACTGCCAGGAGAAGACTGTCCATCCTTCTCCCATGGAGCAGCTGGTCGATCTGAACCATGTACCTTCAGTATGGCAGTGAATCTTCTTACTAGACCACCTGAACTATAAAAGAATAACTTCTGTTTGTTAAAATCACCCACCTGTGCTATCTCCATTATAGCAGCATTAGATAACAAAGAACTAGTGTGCCCAGTTCTGATAGGTGCCATCAAGTGATTAATATGATTCATAATGATCCTATGAATAACAGCTCTGAAGCTCGCCCTATCCTGCACCATTCTCACCATTTCTGTGATGCTCAAGCCCATTATTATAGTTACTGTGTCAGGCTAGCTCATTGAGGACTTTCTTTCTTTTTTTGCTAAACCAGCATGATGTCTCTTTACAAGGACTGGTTCCTCTTAAAAATATGTCCAAAGTGTATGAGACAAAGTTTCACAATCGTTGCCACAAAGGAGCCCCCTCACCTAACGTGTCAACAGTGCTCATGGCCCCTGCGCAAGGATGACACACAAATTCGTGAAGCGTTCCATATTTTTTTTTCATTAAAATATTTTAAAACAAAACAAAACAAATAAAAAAAAACAAACTTGGTTTTAGGGTCTTAAAGTTAAGTGCTTCAGCTTTTACTCTTATTGTCTCAAAATGGTTTTAGGTGAAGAAGTGACTTACATTTTAAGACCACTCTGGCTGCTATATTAATAAACTATAAGATAACAGACACAAAAGCAGTGGAGCTCTAACTGGGAAAATTCTGGAGGGAGGGAATGGTAGCTCATACCTGGAGTGAGGATGTTAATTATATAAAATGGGGGTTTTTGTGTGTGGCTTTGTGGCACAGGAGGAGATTGACCCTCCTTCTCCAGCGAAACATCTGGTGGATTCTAACAATGTTCATTCGAGATTACAGCACCGCTTCTTGCCACTAGACCTCCAGAGCTCCCTAATATATATAATGTTTTGAGGTACAGCTGACAGGAGTTGCTGAGAGAGTGGATAGATAACATGACAGGGGGGAAAAAGAAATCTAAGAGGTTTCTTTGCTTAAGCAACTAAAAGGAGAGAGTTGTCATTTACTGAGATGAGGAAAGCAAAGGGAGAAGATTTCAGAAGGGAAGATGAGGTGCTGTGGTTTATAAATGTAAGGTTTGAGATTCATAATAGACACTCAAATGGTCAAGGCAAATGGGTACTGACTATTGCCATTTGGACTGACAAGTAACTGCAACAAAAGGCTTGAGGATGGAGGAGACTGTGAGGACATGGATCCCATCTGTTCTTCAAATGGCTGCTGTAAGTCATGGTTGACTCAACATCATCTAACAACAGCAGCATATTAACCTGGATTTCTGAGAAATGTTCTGTAAAAAAGACCAAGGGCCACAGGATGGCCATATCTGACCTTTACCAACTTCATAAAAGAGAACTGTCCCTGGCAACAACATCAGCAAAGCAAAACCAATTCTCTTGAGATCAACATGTCCCCTATACTCCTGCACTTCTTTCTACTCATCCCCACACCAATCTTTCTGTATTACTGGATCAAAATCCAGTGCAATAGTTCACAAACCACACAGAACCATCCTGCAGAAATCACAAGACTATAATTTGGGTTAGTATACATCACAGGCGACTCAACAGCACATAACAACAAAAACATACTATATTGGTTGGTTGGGATTTTTTTTTAAAATTTATTTAAGTCTCTTGTTTAGAGTAAAAAAGACCTTGGGGAGGGCCTTTGTGTATAAAGTTGGTTGTTATTAAATTTTGGAGGAACATTCTTCTAAGTGTTATGGCACTCATCTGTCAATATGCTGTACTGAGATAACCTGGGGTTGCTGTGATGCTGAACCTTCTGCCATTCTGGTGTCAAATACCATAAAAGTTACCTAGGATAGACAGTATTTTGCGGAGCTCCCAGTTTAAGACAGGTTTGGAAGCAGGAGTGGCATCCACTTCGTAAACAAATGCTTCAGGAAACTCTATGAACTTTGATAAATGTCAATAGTTATAGAAAGGCTTCAGGCCTTTTGTTCATAGGGTCACTATGAGTCATGCTCGACTCAACAGCAATCAACAACAACAACATGGATTGAAGCTCAACAGCAAGAAAACAAAGATTCTCACCACTGGGCTGAATGACAGCATTATGATAAATGGTGAAGAGACAAATTGTTAAAGGCTTTAGTTTGCTTGGCTCCTCACACAACAGTCTTGGTACCAGCAGCCAGGAAATCAAAAGACAAACTTCACTGGGAAAGTCTGCTATCAGGGATCTCTTCAGAGTATTGAAGAGCAATGATGTCAGTCTGGAAACTAAGGTGCACCTGATCAAGGTCTTGGTTTTCGCAATTATGGACAATTTCGCAAAAGCTGGACAATGACTAGGGATGATAGTAGGAGAATTGATGCCTTTGAGCTGTGGTGCTGGAGAAGAGTATTGAATATACCATGGACTGTTAGGAGAACAAACAGGTTTGTCCTAGAGAGGGTGAAACCAGGCTGCTCCTTGGAGGTAAGGATTCTGAAATACTTTGGGCATGTTGCAAGGAAGGACCAGTCCCTGGAGAGGGACATTATGCTTGGGAGGGTGGAGGGACAGCGCAAGAAAGTAAGACCCTTGATGAGATGGATTCACTCAGTGACTGGGGTAATAGGGATAGATGTTTCAGAGGCAATAAGTTTGGCTCAGGATAGAGCAGGGTTTAGGGCTATTGTGCATAGGGTCACTATGAGTCACAGGTGACTTGATGACACATAACAACCACCACCACCACCATCATCACCAGAATACAGTCTGGACAGCCTCTGAAATGTGCTCGTGGGCACCTCAGCCTCGAGCCTCATGGCTTCAGGCCAGAAATACAAAGTTGTCAGTCCTGCCAATATTGGTTCTTCCTTTTCCACAGTCCTTCAACAAACTTGGGCAAAAGGTTCTTAGTTCTGGTTCCATGGCATAGCAGTGCCAAGGTCTGCTCCATCTCATGTCAGGTCTCTGGTTCTCTGCTGTGGCTGCTATAACTGTTGCTTCCATAGGCCTTAGTGTGTGGCTAGTGCAAGAATTTCTGGTCCTGTAGGACACATGACATGTCTATTGTGCTGCTTCTTCTTTGCTGGTGATAAGGTTGCTCCTTTTTCTGCTGAACCCACTCAATTTAATGGCGAGACTAGACAATTCCCTTGTGGACTGGCGAGAGTAGCCAATCTTCTGTGGATAGGCTAACACTCCCTATTTGCATATTCTCACCTACTCACATGGCAAAGTCAAACTCAATTGCTAGAAAAGCCATTTTGAACACTAAGCTCTTAATACCATAAGATTCCAGCTGAAAAAACATATATAAGAGTTGTCAGTATACCAACAATATTTTAGGCATCTATATGGATGAGAATACCAAAAGAGGAATGTGAAAGAGAAAAATTAAGTCTTGATAGATTCTAGCATTTAGGAGTTAAAGAGGAAAGGAAGAACCAGAAAAAAAATAATCAAGGCATGTCCACTAAATATGAAATAAATCACAGAGTGATTTATTATAGATTAGGGATAGATATTTCCTTCCTAATGATATTTAAGAAAATCTTGAAATACATCTATATGGAAAATTGTCTATGTTAGTATTGCCTTCATTATTATCAAAAGCCCTGATGCATAGGGCAAAGTGATTTCAAAGAAGAAAAATGTCTAGATTATCTTCATCACATCAAATAGCTCTTAAGAAATGGAGTTTCTAGATAGGGTTGCATGACATGAAAAAAAAATTGGGATAAAAAGTGAATTAGGTAGTTGAAACTAATGGTCAGATTATCTGTATAACACTACCACGTTAACACGGGTGCCACAGGACCATTACTTTATACCACTTACCAGTTAATTTGTTATGTCAAAGTACTTCTGGATGTGGTTCTATTTCAGGAGACGAAATGGCCTTTATTATATCTTAACTTGTAATACTGGAGTTAATACCAGAGTAAATTAGTTTCAGAGAAATAAAAAGAAACTAAGATTGAAGAGGAGGAACAGAAAAGCTTCCATTCTGTACTTTAAAAGATATTATAGGTATGCTTCAATAAATTGTACTCTAAAGGACTGTTAACACTGCAGCAAAAATAAGAAAAGTATTTCCTTACCTTCTGTATAGGCATCGTCATGATCTTTCATTCGCTCAGATGCTTCCAAATCTACTTCCTGGCCCCAAAGCTTTCTGGTTAAAGCTGAATTTCCAAGAGAAAATGCTTCTGAAACTGCCAATTCTGAGGCTCTCTCCACTTTCTTCCATGTAATTGGGGGGGGGGGGAGAATCCATTTGAAAGACAAGCAGTTTATTACAGAATTCTTCCTCTATTCATGAATTTGAGTTTCTATCAAATACTAAGATATTTTCATTTTTCTGTCTTTGAAGGAACTCCTAGTTTTTAAATATTCTCTACCCTCAATTTTAGCCATTGTTGTTGTTGTGTATTGTTGAGTTGAATCGACCCTCCAGTGAGTTTTCAGAGGCAGTTAATCGCAAGGCAGGGATTTGATAATTTTTCTCTTGCATTTAGAAACATACAATAATGAACTCTGGTAGTGCAGTGGTTAAGTGCTGAGCTGCACATCAATTCAAATCCAATAGATAATCCACAGGAGAAAGACTTAGCAATGTGTTCCTGTAAAGATTACAGCCTTGGTAACCTTACGAAGCAAATCTATCCTGTCATTATATGAGTTGGAATTGCCTTGATGACAAAGGGTAATCACATACAGAATGAAATAAAATTGCAGTATTTCACCAAGTTTTTGCAAGTACTTGGAAATTTTTTTATGCTTATGCAAAAGGTTATTTAAATTTTAGATAACTTGTTTCCAAAAAACCCTCAAACTCATTGCTGTTGAGTGGAAAGTTACTCATAGCTGACCCTTTAGCATGTTTTCAGAGTGTAAATTGCATAGAAGGAGACTGCTCACCTTTCTCCCACGGAGCAGCTGGTGGACTAGAACTGACTTTGCTCAGCAGTCAATTCTCCACGGATTATACCACCAGAGCTCCCCAACTTTAGAGCTTTAGTAATGAAAACTCATAAATTGGAAGTTTTAAATATTTTATTATTTTCAATGCCACTAAGACTTTTGTAGGGAGTTCTGGTGGAATAGTCTATAGCACCATGGACCTCTCTGGCAGTTTGAATTCCCCAGGCGCTCTTTCTCAAGAAGGATGGGCAATCTCCTCCTGTGTAATTTATAGCTTTCAAAAATTCACTGGACGGTTAGGCATGAGTTGGTTCTGACTTGACAGCAATGGCTGAGTGGGCAAGAACTTTCCTGTGAAAATAAACCAGAGGCATAACAACATGGCTTCAAGTTAATGTTCATGAGAGAAACCTCCTATCACCTATTATGCAAAGTACAGGGAATAAAACGGGGATAAAAAGAATTATTAAACTATGACTCCACACAAAATTCCAGGCAGCTCCCTCTCACTCAGAGTAAAAATCAAAGTCCTAACAACACACTTGTAACATGAGGCCTTTGTGAACTCTTCAACTCTCTGCTTTTCCCTTCAGCCATTCTACTTCAGCCGTATTTGCTCACTGCTCCTCAAATATCCCAAGCTCATTCTCATTGCTGGGTTTTTGCACTTCTGCTCTCTGTATCTAATCCAAATATCCAGAGAATTCTTTCCTTTATCTCCTTTTAGACATTGCTCACCTACTTGGTATGGCCTTCTCTGATCACTACTATACAAACTGTAATCACCCTTGTCTTAGCCCTCCCTTTGCCCACTCATCCCAGGGTTATTAAAGTGATTCTGACTGATAACAGTCCACCAAGACAGAGTAGAATTGCCATTTGTCAGGGTTTCCCGAGACTGTAACTCCGTAAAAGAGTGAACTATGTTAAATTTCTTATAAGGAGTGGTTTGTAGGTTTACTTTTTTAATTTAACAGCCCAGCACTTAAGCTATTCTATCACAAAGCTCCATAACATTATGTTGTTGTCACATGCCTTTGAGCTGACTCCAATTCATAACAACCACACATGTTAACAGGCCAAAATCTTGGCTGACCCTGTGCTGTTCTCACAATCTCACTGTACTCAAGCCTCCTGACGCACTCATTGCATCAAGCCCCTGAGTTGAGGATCTTTCTTTCCTTCATGGACCCTCCCCTTTTAAAAGCATGATGTTCTTCTCCAGGGACTGGTCCCCCCTGATAACATGCACAAGTTACATGATACAAAGTTTAATCATCCGTGCCTCTAAGAAGTAACCTGGCTGCACTTATTCCAAAGCAGAATTGTTTGGAGTTTGTTTTGTTGTGTTTTGTGTTTTTTTTGTTTTGTTTTGTTTTTTACAATCTATAGTATTATTCCATATTCTTCATTAACACCACAATTTAAAGGCATCAATTTTCCTTTGGACTTTATTACTGCCCAATTTTCACATGGATTTGAAGCAACTGAAAACATCACCGGCTAGGAGAGGCATGCCTTAGGTTTTTGTTTTTTGTTTTTTTTTTTTTTAATGCCTTAGTTTTTAAACTGTATTTTCCCCTCGCCTCCAATGTTTCTGTATGTACAGCTTTAGCTACTTTTTAATAATTATCAAGATTTTACTTCTATGTGATACTCATTTCTGCATTTCATTAGAGCATCTATCTTTTGAATGGCCACAAACAAGAATCTTTTTTAGTGGGTTGGCAGGCATCTGTCTTTCAAATTTCTTGGCTTTGATGAGTATGTCTAGGGTTGCATCTGTCCATTGCAGCAGTCACTTTGTTAATCCACCTGGTTGAGAGTCTGCTCCTTTACTGACTTTCTACTCTTCCCAACATCATTTCCCTCTCCAAGGAATAGCACCTCCTAGATATGTCCAAGCCTCATCATTCTTGCCTCCAAAAGGCACTCCAGCTGCACCCTCTCCAAGACTCTTGGCCATCCTTGGGATGTTCAGTGCTCTTCTCCAACACCACAGCTCAAAGGTGTCAATTCTCCTTCTGACATCCTTAGTCACTGTCCAGGTCACAAATGTATAGCTAGTAACTGGAAAGACTAGAGCCTGAATCAGACACACTTTAGTCCTCAAAGTGACATCACTCACTACTCCTCAACACTTTGGAATGGTCCCTAACTGATTTTTCCATTGCAATGTGTCTCTTTATTTCCTGGCTGCTGGTACCAAGGGTGTTAACTGTGGATCCAAATAAGATGAAGCTGTCAACAATTCTCTCCATCCATCATGGCACTGCCTATTGGACCAGTGGTAAGAATCTTTGTTTTCTTGTTACTGAGACACAATCCATACTGAAGGCTGCATTCCTTGATCTTCTGCAACAAGTGCTTCAAGTCCTCCTCACTTTCAGTAAGCAAGGTTGTATCATCTGCATAACACAGGTTATTGATGAGTATCCCTCCAATCTTGATGCCACATTCATATTCACAGAGTCCAGCCTGTACTATACAGTTTATTTATTTTACTGTCGATTTTTACTCCACGTAGGATGCAAGTTCCTTGAGGACAGAGCTTATTGTCTTACTCTCTGTGAATCCCCAGAACTTAGAACAAGGTTCAGCACATAACAGGTGCCCAATAAATGTTTGCCAAAAAAATATATAAATGAAAGATTATTAAAAAGTAAACTGAACTTCTCATAGTATATATGGACAAATGAATGACTTTGAAAATTATTTTTCCTCTTGTTCTTCATGGAAAGACTAATACTACCTCTGCTAGAATTTGCCATGGGTTTCATACATTAAGTTTAAACTAGACAGAAGTAGGTAAATAAAGTTGAAAAGTCAAAGAGTAATTCCAAAAAGATATAAAAACTAGAACATGTAAGAAAGACAGACAAAGGTTTTTGCCCCATTATTTTATATAGCTTCAGATGTAACTAAATTAATTTTGGTATATGTTCATTTATTGGATAGACACAATATGCTTCATATATAGTTCTTCCCTTCAGGACCTGAAATTGAAAGATAGCAAAACATTTTCACACATACATATTTATGAGATCATACACATATACAGAAAAATTATGTTCAAACAAATGGTCAACTTTTTCAAGTTAACATCACAAATAAAAAAGAAGCAATGAAAAAGATGGTAAACTTTACTTAGTTCCTCAGGCTGAGTGAGAAAGGAAATAAGTTTGTCTGACATACCATCCTGGCTGAGTTAGAATTTGCATAGGTTCTTCAGCAGAGAAGGCAGAGAACATTGGAAATAAGAAGAGAAAGATTGATCTTCATATTAAAAGGGAATACAGTTTACAACTAACAAATATGGACATAAAGAGAGATGCTTGCTAGATTTGAACAAACTAAATGTTTGTGATATCACTGAAAATCAAATTTTTAGGAAAAAAATAGTTACTGTTGTTAGATGCCAACAAGTTGAATATGACTAATAGCAAGCCTACGAACAAAAGATATGAACTCTATGGCAGTGTAGTAGGATTTGAAATCAGGGAGTGAGATACCTCCTACCGTTCTTCTATTCTTAAGGACTGCTTTGCTTATTCGGGGCTTTTTTCCATTCCATACGAAATTGGAGATTGCCTTTTCCATCTCGTTGAAGAATGGGGTTGGTATTTGTATTGGGATTGC